AGAAGGATAATACAATTTTTATAAGATGTTAATGTGACTTTTCTGGTCAGCCAGCTTGATGATGTGGGTAGTATTGTCTGAGACAAATTAAGTATGAGCACACCAGAAAAGGTAGTTTATAATACCCTTATTCCTAGAGAAGAAATTTTCAATTGTGTTGTCAACATTAAGGCAACCCAGGTATTTATTTGCACCTAATATGTATTAAATGTAACGTGCATCTCTGCTAATGGCAGAAAGGTATTCAACAGTGTTTTTACAGAGTTAGTCATAAAAAGATTAACAAAGCTTTGTGGCAATAGCATTAAAGACTTAAGGTTTGAAATGTGATGCCAAAAGTAAACTTTGAAACTTTCACGTCTATGATATGAGGAGGAAAGAAAAATGGTACAAAGGAATTTATTTGGGAATAGAAAGATGTCTATAGAACTGGGTAAAGGTTTAACAAAAAATTGGCAAGAAATAGAAGATAAAAGAAAATTTAGGAGAAAAAAGAAAGAAGTTACATACAGAGTGAAAATAATTATGGGGGGTAAAAGTTAAAAGGGAGAAGAGGAAAAATAGAGATATAAAAGAAAAAAAGAGATTACAGAAGAAAAAGAGATTAGAATGAAGGCCAGAGGGCAAAGGAAGATTATCAGAGCTCCCGAAAACTAGAGAAGAAGACAGGAAGGAAAAAAGAAGAAAAGGGCCAGGGGTATAGCTCAGCAGTACAAGTGCCTGCTGGGCGAGTGTAAGACCCTGAATTTGAGAACTGGTACAAAAAAAAAAAAAAAAAAGAGAGAGAAAAAACAAAAACAACAGCAAAACAAAATAAAAACCCTAAAAACAACATTTATACTCTTACATACAAAAAAATAAATAACCAAATGAACAGCAACAACAAAAGTAAAAAACCCAAAAGCAAAGAAAGAAAGAAATTTCTCTGTGATGTGAAACCTATGGTTATCTTCTGAGGTCTACACTTTTGTGGCAGTGTCCAACTTAAGTCTTGATTCGCTCTTGTTGATAGACAAAGGAAGCAGTCAGAGCCAAAATTCATGCTGGGTAATCACCAATAAGCCAGCAGTAGGATTAGGGTGAGATGCCACTTGTGAGATTTTCAAACTCAAGGAAATATGGGTTGAACCCATTCTCTGGTTGTGGGGTTAGAATCTGAGTTGTTTAGCTGATAACACTGTGTGTCTCTTGCTGTCCTGATCATAGCTTCCTGACTATGGACCTCTCCCGAGGTTGATCCACCCAGTCACTGTGGGAGTTTAACAATGGGAGCCCTGAGATGAAGCCAACCCATGGCTTCTCTGAGTCCTGGGTTCAGTGGCCCCTCCCTAGAATGGCATCCAACCAAGCAGTCTCTCCAGGGAATATAGAAGACAATTGGACTGGAGGCACTCACCAGCTGTGGTAGTGCACAGCAACCACTGCTCTGTTCAACAGGTATACTTCTCTTTGATGGCCTCTGGAGTTCCCTGCTTTCACTATTTATCTGTGGATTCATATTCCTTTCATATAAGCAAGAAACCAGAGAGAAAGTACAGATTGCCCCTTTCTTTTTGTTCCTTGAGGTCTGCCTCTTCAGTCTCTCTGTAGGCTCTAATTTTCTAGTCAGGTCATTCCTGGGTTCCAGGGATCCACCTTCCTTCTTTTCTTCCCCAAGGTGCTATTTTCCAGTGCTTAGATTCCAAATCTTGGAGAGGCTGATTTGTTAACACTTACCACTCCGCCATCTTCTCAGAAGGAGAAGTCTCTGTGCTTGGCTGTTAACACTTTCCAAAGCACAATATACAGCTCTCTGTCCATGTGTAATAATCAAACTTTCTAGTTGGAGCCATGTTACTGAGCCTATGGCCATGGCCTTATCAGATTACTAATTCCCAGAGTCTGCAAACAAATTGCCTGTGATCTTGCCTTTCATGTGCAAAACAACCAACCCAGAAGCTATATACCTCCTTTATGGAGCATTTAAATTTTAGTCCTCTGGCCCCCTACTCTAACTCCACCATCAGGGAACAGACTCCCAGTGATATCCATTAATGTCCGCAAAAGCATATGGTTATTATTTGAGGTAACCAATTCTGAGCCTGCCCTCTTTGTCATTTCTGTTCCCTTCCATGGGAACCGTGTTAAAAAAGCCCATGCCAATGTTTCCCATTTCTTCTACCTCTAGGCTACCCTCATGCTTCCTCTGAAGGCGTGTCACATACTGTGACTTTTGTTTCTAGGTATTTATGAGTATGAGATTGGCGTTGCCATTTGTGCACGTCTCACCATCCTGGATTAAAATAAACCCTGGGGACCCTCAAAACACCATGGTACCTTGAACTAGTCATAGTACATCTACAGGTTTCGATGAGATGATCATGTGTTTCTAGTGTCAATGTGAAAAAACTCTGAGACATTTTGAAATGCTGTTTGTCTCACTTCCCACCTAGAAGAAGCTCAGTGGCTTAGATACACGTCAAAAATGGAAGTGTTCCCCATCCACTCAGCCATCTTTTCAAGCTAGCCCATGGTTCTTTGGGGAAACCATTTTCCACAGTGTGGGTGTATTTTGTCTCTATGGTTGCCCTTCCCCAAAGCAAGAGAGATGTTCCCTGTTGTTACTAATAGTGTTCCTTGACCTCCCACACGAACATGTTAGCTTGGTACTCTTTCCTCCTCTTCAAAGTAGAGCCTCTGCCCCTCACCTCAAACCAAAGCAGAAAATACAAAGCACCCATTCTACACAGACTTATTCTTGATTGCCACTTTTTCAACTTTTCTTTCTGCTTTCTTTAGTCTGTTTTCTAGAGTAAAAACCTCTTTTAAAAATCATACTTTATTTCTTTCTGTGATATTCTCCCTGCTCTTCACTGATGCTCCTTTTCCTTGCCGTTGTCTTGCCACTCAATTTTTTGTGTGTTGGTATTTTGCAGTACTGGCGATCAAAGCCAGGGCCTTGTACGTATTGGAGAAATGCTCTGACATTGAGCTATATGCCACCGTCTTTTATTTGACTACACAGAGAGGGGGAAAAAACAGCAACAGCAGCAACAACAACATAGCCTCTCAAAGTTCTTTCCTCCTATTCAGTGAAGAAGATGGCTGACAAGACTGGCACCTCTCTGAAGAGGACAATGCAGTACTTGAGCACTTTCTACAAAGAGGAGATGTGTAAACTATCCAGTGGCAGAAAGCAGAGTTTCTCTGCTTTAAGGCATACCTCCAACAAATTGAGAAAGTTTACCTCAGATTGTACATGGCAATCTATTTGGCTATACTCTTTCTCATCACACACTGAGAATAATGTGTTATTGACTGAGTGGAAGGGAAGTTCCCCCACCCAACTACTCCTGCCTCTCCATTCTTATCTTTGTTGCCTGGACCCAATACCTGACACCTACAATTTAAAAGAGGAGAGATTTATTTTGGCTCAAAGTTTATAGAGGATTTGGTCCTTAGTCTGCTGGCTCCAAGGCAGGGCAGCAGAACAGGAGAAAAAGTTTATGGCAGTGCAAGGAGGAAGCAGCAAGATCAAGGAAGGCTGAGGGAGAGACACTTCCCTGCCACAACCCAGAAACCCACCTCCGACCAGGATTCACCTCACATGACATTTCGCTATGCATACCTAAGTGGACTAATCCACTGATGAGTATCATGCCCCCATGATCTAATCACCTCCCCAAAGTTCCACCTATGAGCATGGGAGGCTTTGGGGGACATCTAGATGTAAAACATGACATATTAACTTATTTCCATAATTAAGAGTAAGTACCTGAAATACAGGGACAGCACGGGATCATGAAGAGGCACCTGAGCATTTTGATGGTTTTAGTGTATGGCAGAAGTGGGTCAGTTTATAACTGTGACTGTGAATAAGTGGCTCAGCCTCTCTGTCCTAGTTTTCTCATCCATATCTTACAGATACAGTAGCATGCAGTGCCTCCCTGTGTTGTGGAACTGTGTGGAGGAAGAGGATTGGGTTTGTCATGATGCTGGGCTCCTCTATGGAGAGCAATAACATGCCCTCCTTCCTCTAGCCTTGTCCATCTGAGCACAAGACACAGTGTGGCAAGTGCATGCTGGACAGAAGTGACGTGTACATAGTATGGCTGATGCCCTATTTCCAGTGAATTAATTGGCATGGCTAGGGAGGAGTGTCCCCTTTCATTCAGGGCACTCCATAAAAAAATTACCATTATTCCAAACAAAGAAAGGCTGACAGTCCTTGATCAGAGTGTAGGGGATGCTGACACTCTCCAGTTAGACACATCAAGCACATTTTCTATTAGGAAAATGCAAAGTCATAAATATCTAGTTGCAAACAAAGGTCTTACTACTCCTAACCTAGTGCTGTCTTTCTATAATGCCTTCTTGCTTCAGTTCCTTACCCTATTGCTATGGGGTTTTCCCAGGTTTTTCACTCAGGACTTGTGAGACTTAACTTGGTTTGGACTCTGTGGTTCCTATAAGTGTCCATATTCTGGTTTTTGGATTCCATTGGCTGTGTGGTCCTGAGCCTTTGGAGTTGAGGTTTCAGACCTTCCTTGGATTCTCAGCCTTTTCTCTTCTTCCAGTGTACATCCTTTATTCTTTTAAGCTACATCATTACACATGACCCTGCCTGGCTACCAAATCCTGGGGTAGGGGTATTTACGACAACATGAACCTATGTGCAGAGTGGGTGTGGAGGCCTGTTTAGTTCCCAACAATGAACTTTGGTACTACATTCCTCATCTCAGTTTATACAAAGAAGGACAAAGACAGAGGACCAAGTCAAGGTACTATGAAAGCTGTTATGGGGCACTGGAGCCACCTTGGTGAGTAATACTTTACATTCACCTCTCCAGCCTACTCAGCTGGTAGAGTTTAATTAGCTGTAATATATTATTGTTAAAGTAATTAAAACCTTCCTTTGATTAAAAACAGAGTTGTTAATTAAAACAAAAAGGTTTGGTAACCTCAGATTTCAGTCTGAGAAATGCAATGGCCTCAGCTGATTTCTCCTTCTTCCCCACCAGGCTTGAAGGTCCGGGAGGTTTTCATCAATGTCACCAGGCAGCAGGTGGAGGACTTCCATGGGCCGGAGGACTACTGGTGCCAGTGCGTGGCATGGAGCCACCTGGGCACCTCCAAAAGCAGGAAGGCCTCTGTGCGCATAGCCTGTAAGTATGTCCTGGGTGACCTTGTCCTGTGGAAATGTGAAACAGAGCCGAAGAAGAGCTTGGACATGCAGTTTGCTTCTGCAGAATATATATTAAAGGAGAGCAGGAAATCATCAGAATCATTTCTACCTCTACAAATTTACTATAGTAAATTGTATTTTGATAATTCTTTGGGAGGACAATCAGCAAATCACTTTGGCAAAGAGATTCTGCCAAGATTGTCAGAATGCAGGTGTCTCAACAATGCCAGGAAAACTGCCTGAGAAAAAGAAATCCACACAAATGGATTCTGCCGGTTCTCATCAATGACAAAATTCTGGGGACATTAGTGGGAAAAGTTGAGCAATGACTGTTTTCTCTGTGCTTTCCAACAAATCTGCAAAAGTGAGACATTAAACACATTAAGGGATTTTTATAGCCCACTGTTAAATCTCTTTTCTGTGAATTTTAAAACATGGAAATGGGTTTTGAAACTGAGTTTGTTTGACCCAAGTAGAGCTAAAAAAAAAAAAAAATACATGCTTGGAAAATAATAAAGAAGAAAGGAAGAAAATTGCTTTTCAGGAGTGCACAAGATTTCTTTATCATATTTCAGCATGAATGTTTTTATAATTTAAAAAAGATTTATAGATAAACCACATCTCTTCCTTTAAAATGTCTTTATCCCAGCCACTTGCATTACTACCCCCTCCATGGATCCCCATAAGCACCCTTCATGTGCCCAGGAGTGTAAAAGCCCCTTTGGGGAGGAACAGGCAGGTGGACGGCAGAGATGGTTATTGTTGTTTTATTCAAATACTGCCTTTGGAGGATGCCATAAAGGGTATAGGACAAGAGGATTTATTTGAGGACAAGGAGTTCTTCATAGCAGATGTTGATAGAGTAGGGATTAAGAATAGGAGTGAATTTCTATTTGCAGGGACATTTATATTTCCTGGGAAATGAAATCTTCATCTTAAAACATGCATTTCACCTTAACTCTACTGGTGATTTGAGAGGCTGATCCTGAGGGCTGCCTGGAACCTCACAGGCCAGGGAGAAGAGGTCACCTCATAAGCTGTGCACTTGATGTGAGAGCCAGGGGGAGTATTTCTTCTATAGTTACTTCGTTAGTTAATGTTATCCTACCAATATTTTAGGACTTTAAGTAGAAGGTCAGCTAAAAGAGGAACTATGTTTGCATTTACTCTTCCCATAACAAGTCCAGGTCTCTTTTCCCTGCAACACCTGCTCAGGCCAGCCAGGGTATTTGACCCTCCAGTCAAAGGAGGTATCTCTCAGACTATATCCAAATGGAACAGAAGTAAAACATCACGTGAGATTTCAACACAGGGTCATTCAGTTTTTTCCTTCTCAGTCTAACTTTTCCTCTTCTTTCTTTTTCATTTACTATGAGGCCCACATGACCTATTCTTTGAGCTGCTACAAATAGCATCTCTGTAATCTATCAGCCTCTTGTCTCTTTTACTGCCGTACTACCTGGCTTCATTACTGATTGCCAGTTGCCTGTTAGATTTCTCCAGGAACTTTCCTAGGGTAAAACTTTGTTTGTGCTTACATAGTTTATTAGTCACTTTCATGTCACTGGGGCAAAATGTCCTTCACTAGCATTTTAAAGAGGGAAAGAGGATTTTGGCTCATCGTTTCAGAGAGGTAAGTCCATGGTTTGCTGGTTCCAAGGTAGAAGTATTATGGCAGAGGGTTTGGCAGAAAAAAAAATGCTCAATCCACAATACTCAGGAATCTGAGAGAAAGCATGAACCAATGGGAGAGATATACCCTCCAAAGTTACACCCCCAGTGACCCTCCTCTTCCAACCAGGCCCCACCTCCTAACAGCCCATTCAGCTATGAACTTGTCAAGTGGATTAGGAAGATGAGTACAGCAATTCTATGATGCTTCCAAGAGCCAACCATAGAATGACTAAAAGCCACCTCTGAATTTCCTCTCCATTAGATCAAATACTCTGTGCTTCATCTTTCCAAGTGCTCTGTCTGCCTCTCTTCAGCATGTGCATTAACTCCTGCTGACTCCAGTTTCACACATCTGTTGCCTTGGTGGTAAAGACCCCAGACCCTGCAGTCCTGTTGGCTTTCCAATTTTATCTTTACTACTTCTTTGTTTTTGGACAATTTATTTCATTATTCTGGGCTTTAGGTCTTCATCAATGAGTAGGCACCTACTTTATAATTTTTTATGTGAGTTAGATATATTGAAGCCATGTTTAAAACTTATCCTGGTGCAGAGTAGCATATTTACTTGTCACCTGCTTCCTCTTTATGGCATATTCAATCCTCTGTAGCCCCAGTGTCTTTGACTTACAGGTGTGTTACTCCTTAGTGCAGTTAATGGAATTGAATGGAATTTTTAATGCTGTACTAGTTATTCTGCAGGCTGTGGATGTAAGAAATCTTTGTAAAACTCCATTTTAGGGCAGCTGTAGGTGTTCTGCTCTTCCAGTCATGATAGAATCAATGAGAGAGTGATCATGATAGAGTACTTTTTTTCAAAGTATTGTGAATTAAATACTTTCAATCTAGTAATAATGCAGATCTCTCCAGATATGACAAAAAATCATTCTGTCATTTTCATATATGATGTCCACATACATCTATGATAAAGATGTGGTTTTAAGTCAAAATATGTCAGAATATCATTAAACCTTATATTATGCAATTCCCTAATCTCTAATAATGTCTACAAAATATTCTTAATTTCCTTCCATGTAGCAAGCAGATTCCTTAATTTATTTCAAATTATTTATGTAAGCTATGACATGATTTATCATTAAGTATTGCATTTGACTTGGGGACCTGTGTACATTAAAATGTAAATTGAAGTTTAGTGTAATAGCATCAAAAGTACGGAGGGGGTACTTCCTTCAGGACATTACTTGAATGTTTTTTAATTTGCTTGAAGAAGAAAACACACTTCTAAGACATAATTTTCATGTTTTGTTAACATGAGAGAGAGAAGGCTGTTTTTTTTTTAGGCACTTCCCAGCAAATAATACACTGCACAAGAGAATAGTCTTTAGTCCCAATAAATGAAAAGCCAAATTGGATGTAATTATTGCTATGTCTCTTATTTGTAAGATTGTTTTTTGAAGTACTAGAAACATCTTAATGTGTTAAATAAGGATTTTGATAGATGGATATAGCTTATGAATCTGATGACAATCATCTTGAGAGGACTTTGCAAAATTAGTCTCATTTTTATATTACTCATTAAATTGTTCTAGTTCAGCATCAGAGCTCCTTATGCTTCCTGCATTTAACCAATGATCCATTAAGAATTTAACAGTTTTGAAGTTGCAGTGGGTAAAACCTCCATGGCAACTGGGCCATTCAGCTGTGGGATGTGTTGACTCGAGCATCTTCACTTGAGCACATTCCACAATCTCTGCAAAAATACCAGGAAGCCCCTGGATGCTGCCAGCCATAGCTCATTCCACTTTAAATAGCAGCAGTGTAAACAGTTATTTTATTTATTTGCATGACTTGTGTAGTCATTGAAACTGACCCCTCCGGGGTAATAGTTTAGTATACTGAGTTGTACTTTTCATCCCAGATCTTCTGAATCTGACTCTACAGAAAAGGCCAGGAAAGCTGTGGTTATAACAAGTTAACCAGGTGATTCTGTGATCAGACACCTTTGGGATGTCTTGTCTGAGAACAGTGTTTCTCAAGCTTTAATATGCATGTCAGTCAACTAAGGCCCTGGTGGTTCCTTATATACCTTAAATACGGGTGGTTCTCTTAAGATAACTCAGTAAGCCTAGTCTAAGGTCTAAAATTTCGTATTTCTAATTAGTTCCCTAGAAGCCAAGGATTCTGGTGGATCTGTGCACCATGCTTTGAGGAACATGTCCTAGAATACCTTCATGGAGCAATGTTAGGAAATGTAGATACAACTCATTTCACATTTTATAGGCCTTCTCGTCGAGCTTGTTCCAAAAGTTAGGTGTCCTGACCAAAGATCACCCACACTGGCATGCTTGGAACCTGGCCCACCCCTTCACCACCACTCTGGGTGCCCTTGCTGCTATGCCATGCACATTCTTTTCTGTTAAATAGGAAGTTAAGAATCATGATAGATAAGTTCACATGCACGAAGTGTTTCCTTAAGGAATGTGGTGATCGTTTTCTTTCTTTATCCCATTTTTGAGTAAATTCTCTTGATGGTCAAATTCTGGTGTGTGTTATAGTGTGTTTTAGGTGTCAAAGTCCCTGTCATTCTAAACTATTGTTTTCCTCTTCACTGCTGGGCACCGTGTCAGGGAGGTGTTGGGCACCCATCCAACTGCCTAAGGCTGGAAATAGCTGAGGCCCAGTTTCAAAGTGGCTTTATCAAGTTAAAAATAAATAAATAAAGCCAACCCACTCTTTGTCCCACAAAGCTGGCACAAGTCTGTCCCCAGGGAGTGGCTCCCATGGGCCTGTGCTCATCCTACTGGTTCAGCTGAGCTGGAGGTAGCTGTTGTGCTGTGGCATCTGCTACTTCTGCTGCTGGAATATTCAATTATTTGTAGTTGTTTACTTTCATGGATGAACATTTGCCAGCTTAGCCCTTTCTTTTACTTCTGATTTTTTTCTTTCACTTCTTCATCTGCTTGTAAAATATTTTGCCGGTATCATTAACCCCTGACCCCTCAAACTCTTCTAAATACTTGGACTGAGAAATAAAGGAAATATTTCTGTGTTATAGTCAAGCCTGTTTTGCCCAGTTTGCCATTTGGAAGAAAACACAGCAGGAAACCACTATTTTGTTGATTTTTTTTTCCTAAAAAAGCCTATAAAATTTAATGCATGCTGAAAATAAAATTTAAATATGCTGCTTATTTGAGCCACTGTTAAAATATCTGTGTAATTGTGCCAAGAATGAATGAAAAAAATGAGAAGAATCTCATTTAAAAGCTGTGAAACTCCCCACTTTTACAGGCCCATAGTCAAACAGGATTATTTTCAGTTACTTTTATGGGGATAATATCATTTGGAAAA